TTTCCTTTAAGTCCATTGAGTGAATTACTTTGGAAGATGCAATTATGAAGAGGAGGAGCTGTTGTATGTTGGTGGTAGAGTTTTATGCTTTCATTGTGCAGATGAAAATAGGTCTGTACATAAGGCATAGTAGGCATAAGGCTATAATGAGTCAGGCCCCTTGTGACTTCATAATTTTTTTAACTTCTACCTTATCTTTAAAGGAAACACTTCTTTTGCCCTTTACTTAAAAGCTGTTGTTTCTTTTTTGTTCTGCAGTTTGAAAAATAGTTTATGCTTTTCATTAGGTAATAGAGAAATTTTTCCCAAATTGGATTTTTTTTCCTCATCTGTTACAACTTTACTTCCATAAAGGCCATGTTTAGCAGTTGTGGGTTGAGAAAGTATTTATATATTGGTTCAATTATTCCTATACTTACTTGCTTATCCTTATTTTAAAGATATTAATTTATACGTTTCTTTGGGGATTTTGAAGTTGGAAGTTCCCTGAAGTTTTTCAGCTCTAACCTTTCTGGTATGTTGTAAGCTTAAGAGTATTTACCTCAGCTGAAAGCAGTGCTACTGATTTTCCGTTCACTGCTGCACTTAATGTAAAGGTGTAAGACAGTTATCTCTAGTCTTAGTTTGCCATTCCCATATTAGCCAAATAAATTGTTTTTCCATCTCCTCTGTGTTCTGGGTAAGAAAAAACCAGCATGTCAAGGCTAATTCAGTAAAGAAAAAAAAAAAAGAAAAGAGGAGCGGATTGTGTTTGGAGAGCTTAGGGTTAAGACATTTTTAAGAGTTTTCCTGGATATGGATTCATTTTTGTGGCTTACAAGTTTGCAAAACTCTGTAAGAGTCAGATCTTAGTATTCAAAGAATGTTCAGGTCTGTTTCTCTCTGCAAGAAATAATTGCACCCAGGCATACAGAGGGTGGGGAGATAGGGGCCCTTCTTTTCTTTTCTTTTTTTTTTTTTTTTTTCTTAACTTCCCTGTTAGGTGGACTGAGGAACTCTGCAAACCCTCAGATATCAGAGGGATTTTTAAACTGATCATTTGCTCCTCAGGCACCTTGTGCTAACTAATGCTTCATTTAGACAGTATCAATCAGTGGTGGTTGCAAACTTATTGGTGTTTGTTTTCTACCCTAAGTATCTCTCCATACACAGCCCTTACCCAATGGACTGTCACTCACAACTGAGCTGGCAGGATCCAGAGATCTCCTCACACCTTCCTGCTCCAGGCAACCAGTGCCTTCTCCAGTCTGGTCTCTTCCCCAGGAGGGGCAGGGAGTAATGGGCTGGTCACCCAAGGGCATCCCATTGTCGAGCTGCCCCATGTTGTGGATCCAAATCCAGTTTAGGCTATGGTGTAGAGGGGGGGCAGCAGCAAGATGAGTCGAGCACAAAACATGGGAAAGTTGCTTACAATGGCTGTTCTTCCCAGTCTCCCCACTGCTACCCCAGTGGTGTAATCCCATACAACCAGAGGAAAGGAGAAAACAGACAAGTACAGCAAATGGTGGCTGAAAAGGCCAAGGTGAGGTTCTAGCCATTGGATGGCTACTTGCTGACTGTAGAAGAAGAGTGAGTTTTGTTGTCCTGGTGCCAAATTTCCTGGTCTGTGTGTACTGTGTTGAGATTATAACTACACCTCATGATACTAAGAGATTTAATACTACGTACTCTTGGTATTTTCTTGTTCTGTATTTTGGGACAACTGTGGCTTGGGTCAGCTGCAGGTGGTGAGAGGGGACTTTGCTCTTAGCCTGCTTTTACTCCATCTTACTTTATATGTCTTGCTGGTTTATAACTCAGACATTTTCTTTTTCTACACAGTTGTGTTCTAGAGGCTTTAGTTAACATGGGCAATTTGCAGCTCAGTTTGTTTTAAACTTCTGTTGAGATATACTGAATGGATGAGGTAAGTCTCAGGGCACCACACATCTGGCTTACACAGGCAATGAAACACACTGAGTGAAACTTCAGGAAATTAAAATATAAACTTCCCTGCCCCTTTTCCTGCAGAGGCAGGAGAGGGGATGGGGCTGCCTGCTTGCATATGCCTTTGTGGTATGTTAACACTTTCAGTACTGAGAGATATGTTGCATTTGCCTCCTACTGGAGCCTTTCCAGTCAGCGTCATGGCCAAATGTGATGCCTTGGGATTTTTATGTTTGTGACCTGGGAGGTCAAAACCTTCCGTTATGATATATGCTGGCATCCGAGAAAGCGGATCATCTGGAAGTCCCCTGTTTGAACTTTTGCCAGAAAGCTGTCTCTTCTTGTGCTCTTCTTTCCCTTGGGATTGAAAAGATTACTTTTAAAGGAGATCCCAGGTTTTGGATCAGAATGCACTAAAACCGAAGCTTCTCCAAAATCCCTTATATGAACAGCATTTTGTTTTTCTGTCTTCAAAGTGAGAGAAGCAGCAATTAAACCTCTTGCTAACTTCTCTGCGATTGCTCAAGTGCTGTTATGCCTTTAAATTTAACAAGTCTGACTCTGTAACATTTTACATGATCTTATGTGTGTTGCATAAACTGAGCCCTGTCTTGGCATTTTGTGAATAAGTGAAGGGTTTTTTTATCATATCTTGTTTCAGATTATATATGCAAATGTTAGGGAGGATATTACAAAATCAGAGAATAATTCACGTTCTAAACCTCTGTGCAAAATAAAGACACAAAGAAAAAAGAAGGGGAAAAAATAAGTAAAAACATGATACCTACCACATTTTAAATTTCTGAACTAAAGATATGTGTTCTTCAGGTGTAGCAGGCCTCTTTCCAAAGAAGCAACAGTGGAGCAGAAATCATTTTATATGGGCAGCAGATATCTGAGAGAAAAAATTAGATTGACAAACATATAGGGAAAGACAATTTATTCAGGACTGCAAAAATCCACTAGATCCTGCATCCAGATATTCCTACAGAAAGCAAAAACCCAGTGTCGTCATGTAATTAATGCAGATGTTGGCAAGCTTTTATAAGGGCCACTAATTCATTCATATGACTTCCTCCCTCCCTCAAGGGTTCTTATACTTGACCTGTTATTACTACAAGGTCTTTAACCAAAGAATTAAAGCCAGATGTCTTGTAGCTAGGTCTCCTTTTGTTAAATATCCCTTGTAAATCATTTTTTTTTCTATGCAGCAGAGAGATCCTACATGAGAACTTTTAAAAATTCTTAATAATTAAGGCTGAAAGGCTTCAAGCTTAAGATTTAATGTATCCTAAAGGAACAATAAAAGTTTTATTCTCACTGTGTTGAGAAATAGTATTTACTCTAGTTTTTTTTTTATTCCTGCAAATGGTTTTGATTGATGTTGAGGTTGGAAGTAAAATCTTTCTAAAAAGACCTTTTTCTTTATCATAAATTTAAATGTCATGCAGTGCATTTGGGATATAGGTGGAAAGTTTTGTATGTTGTTTAGTTGGAATTGGCTTAATTATGTTGGCAAATGTAGAAATTAAAAGAAACAGAAATAGCTTTGGGTAATTCTAGGGAAATCTCTATTAGATACTATTTTCATTTGAGTCCAGTTACTAATTCTGTTTCCCAATTCTGTACATTTTTGTTTCCAGCATAAAAGTTAGTTTAGCTGTAGCGTTTCCTACAGAGTGACTGGAACTGTCCAAAACATATAGTTTAGTTTGCATGTTTTAATGGGAAGAAATTCTTATCTTTTAGTATTGCTGATTTGTTCTTTGATTGGGCTAATTACCTGTTTTCTTGCTAAAACTTGTCCTCTTTTTGTAAAAATTCAAGTTTAGTCAGCAGAGTTTCAGATCCATAAAAGCAAGGAGTCACAGGCAGGTCTCCCAAGTCTGGTGTAGAAAGAGATTTTTTTTACATGAGTTTCTTGGTTTGATTTTTTTTAATTCTTATTTTTACATCCTCATTGTATACATGTGCTAAACAAGGAACCAGGTTGTTATTCACAGGTGTTTCTTTTTCTAAGGTTTGCCTTTTGGGAATTGCACCTCAAGTAATTGATTGAAACTGAGAAAGGAAATTCATTAAGCATTTTCTTGTGAACCAGCAGTTTTATGCAAAACTTCCACATTCTGGTGAGGTATGGGGCTTGTTTGTTTCACCCATAGCTGTTCTTGGCAGAGTACTCTGCAAGGAAAATTAATCATGTGTTGCTTGACATAGCCATAACAATATTTAATGCAGGAAATAAGGTTGGATGCTTTTAACACTAGTTAAGCCAAATATTGCTTTTCTTATTTTTTGGCTCACTCCTGCTTCAAATTGGAATAAGTCAATTCTGATGAGTTATATTTAAAAGCGTGCTGTATTTCAAACCCTGCTTAGAAGCAGGGCTGATGCTCATAGAAATGCAGTGTCAAGCTTTTTTTATTTTTCATACAAGCCTTTCATGCTCTATGGACAAACACAGCCCCTGATAATTCACAGTCTCCTAGATATTGGCAATATTAATTTAGGGTGTTCTTCCCACTCCTTGAGACAGGACAAGAAGGAATACCCCGATGGAAAACTGAAGGATTTAAAACCTGCTCATAAATGTAATCCACTTTTTCTCCGCTTTGAGAAGCTCTTTTTTTAACACCATTACTGTCAAACAACAGTTTTGTGCACTCTTAACATAAATAAGGTATCCTGTAGCAGAGTTAACCTTTCTTATTTACAAATTGCATGCCTTTCCCTTTAAGTGAATATTTCAGCTTGTCTGCTTGGCCAGAAGCTCATTTTCTATGCAATTTACAGCTACATCAGAAGTCCTGCTGGCTCCCAGAGCAGATGGAAGCATTTCTGGTTGCTTCTAATCTGGTTGCTGTTACTAGACTCCTCAGAGCAATTGTTTGCAAGTTGTGGAATGCCGTTTGGTCTGAAAAAATAAATTTGTTCTGAAGCGTGTTCCCTTCCTGACCCCCTCCCTGTTCTTCATGCATGTCTCATCCATGGAGGCAATCACATGTTTTCAGTTCTGATGTCATTCTCTTTTTGTTGTTTTTTTTTTTTTCCTCTTTTTTCCCCTCTTCTTTTAGTCCACAGCCATGAGCGAACCACAGTGCTACTACAATGAAACCATTGCCTTCTTTTATAACCGAAGTGGAAAATATCTAGCCACTGAATGGAACACTGTCAGCAAGCTTGTAATGGGACTGGGGATTACCGTCTGCATCTTCATAATGCTGGCCAACCTCTTGGTAATGGTGGCTATTTATGTCAACCGCCGATTCCACTTTCCTATTTATTACTTAATGGCCAACTTAGCCGCTGCGGACTTTTTTGCAGGGCTGGCCTACTTTTACTTAATGTTCAACACGGGACCCAACACTAGAAGATTGACTGTAAGCACCTGGCTTCTCCGTCAGGGTCTCATTGATACTAGTCTGACAGCCTCTGTAGCCAATTTGTTGGCCATCGCTATTGAGCGGCATATTACGGTTTTCCGAATGCAGCTGCACACTCGGATGAGCAACCGGCGAGTGGTCGTCGTAATTGTTGTTATCTGGACTATGGCCATCGTCATGGGTGCCATACCCAGTGTCGGATGGAACTGTATTTGTGATATCACTCACTGCTCCAACATGGCACCGCTCTATAGTGACTCCTACCTGGTCTTCTGGGCTATTTTCAACCTGGTCACTTTTGTGGTCATGGTGATCCTATATGCTCATATCTTTGGGTACGTTCGCCAAAGGACTATGAGAATGTCCAGACACAGTTCTGGACCCCGCAGAAATCGGGACACCATGATGAGCCTCCTGAAGACTGTGGTCATTGTGCTTGGTAAGTGCTCACTTTGCCCACCCTGTTCTCTTCGCTCTGTTTCTTATCAGGTGATTTCAGTAATGCATGTCTGTCTTCTGGGAGGTCATCAGCATTTAGAAGACTCTAGAAGAGGTGCAGACAATAAGAACCTCCAGCGTTCATTACTGTGTTGGCACTAGCAAGCTTATTTATTGAAGTTGGTATAAGTAACTTAGTCACTCAGCCCTGTAGTATGAAACTGATGAAAATCCAGGACCCCAAGATGTAATGTGGTTTTGCAGCAACGCAAGTTAAAACCTATTGCAGCAGCCTATTATATGCACTGTTTGCCCTTTTGCCTTTGAAGGTGCCAAATGGCTGAAAACTTAAAATAGTACAAGAAACCTCACCGAAGTACCTCTGGTCTTCTTTTTTGCCGCCCAAAAGGTGTTGTGTGTATTCATGCAAAGCTCTGATATCTAGAGAACGGTGAGGGGCTACAGGCTATTCATGAAAAGATTTTATGTTAAGCAGAAGTGCAAATACCATTCACTTAGGTCTGTAACGTTTGGCATATCTCGATATCTGTAACATAAGGCCCTGATGTTCTCCAGCACACTGCTCAGAAGGTACCTAAGCATCAGGGCTTGGAAAACAGGGAAATGCAAGGGAAATACTGTAACACTTTGGAGCCAGGAGGTTCCTGTCATTTTGTGAATGACTATTTGTGTTTTGTCTTGGGCTCTGTTTGCTTATGCAGAAGCACACCTGACTACTGAGTAACGTTGCATGGTGATGTTCTTTGCAGTTTCTTTTTTGTTGCTGCAGATGACAGTGAGCTGAAGGTGTCAGTGATGGTATGGGTTGTCTCCTTATTCCAGCATGTGTTCCCACCTATTAGGTCTTCCAGCACAGTACATCGGTCTTCTGAGATTCCAGTACCCTGTTGCATCAAAAGGTTGCCCTAATAGCCCATAAATGCAACAGTAGTTGGTCCACAAGGCCCAAAACTTAGCCCTGTTTCTCAGTTTGACATCATGATTCCCATAGCTTTACACAGTGACTTGTGCTTTCCACCACAAACATGACAGAATAGTTGCAGAGATTTGGTGTGAGTCACTGTGTCAACTCACATGTTAGTGTAAGAATTTACGTGTTGCGCTTTGATTTAGTGATTAGTTTTGTAACCAGCATATGAATTGTGCATTGAACTAACCTATTCAGCCATTGATAAGATGTATTCCTACATGTCTTACTCTTCAGGGAAAGAATATCTATGAGGTTTGAAAGGGAGATTGTAGCGATGGGTAAAACCTCTCTTGACTTCCTGGTGTTTTGGAAGTCTGTCCCTCCCCACCTCAATGACCCTCCTGGCAGAAGGCAAAATGAAGTTAAGAACAAAAGGAAAATTCAGGTTTTGCAGTCTTCTTTTTGGTAAATAGATCCTTGTTTTCCCTCCTGAAGGAATTACTATTCATACAGCATTTCCTGTGAGGTGACAGACCAACTCAGACTTGAAAAAAAAAAAAAAAGTGGGCGGATAGTAAGCACTTACACCAGTGCAATGCAGAGTTCTAGGAATAAATAGTCACTGAATAAATATCAGATGTCAGCTAATCCCAAGCACGTATGAGACTAGAGGTATATATGCAGCTGGAAGGGTACACAGTGACTGTCTTTTGTTCTCCTTATGAGCACAGGTCAGAGGGAAGATGTACAGGCCTCCCACTGTGACTACAACAGTACAGGTGCACAGGGAACATAAAGTGACCCTTTTTTTTTCCTTAATAAGTACCATATGTTTTTCAGGTATTGTTCTGGAATAGTAAAACAATTCCTGGTGTTAAGTGACATTAGCTAAACTGAATGTGACTCCAGTTTAGCTGCAGATGTAGTTCAGTAATACCTGTGATTCCTCATAGAGGGAAGATTTTTCAGGACTGCAGGTAGCAGATGTTGAAGCTTTCCTCAAAATTCAAATAGGAACTTATTTCTTGTTACTGCTGCACTTCATTCAGTGCTTTGCACTGTACTTTAGCACCTCTTCTAATCTGCATAAAACACTGTTTACAAAGAGTGATAACATAGTATTTTATTAAATCTGTTTGACAGAAACAAGGAACTCGTAGGCCGTGACACTATTCACCCTGTACTTGCAGCTCCCACCTTGATAGTATTTTACAAAGGGATTGGATTTTAATTTGGTTTGGTTTTTTGTTTTTTCAGTAGTGTGATTTCTTTGTCTGGCTGAGGTCAGTCTTAGAGCTGTGTAAAGCTCTAAGTGTGAAGAAGCAGCAATGCTTCCACATCCTCACCACCTGTGAGACAGTTGCAAGACAAAGATAGCTGGGAAAAAGCTGTGGGGGTTTTGTGTAAAGTTGTGTTGGTGGCTTTTTTAATTTAATAAATAATAGACTGAAGCCAAGCATTAGGCTTGGGGGCAAGTACAGAGACTTTTGGTGAATTAAATGTTTGTGCATCAGGGTGTTAAGAAATGTTCATTAGTTGCCATTAGCTAAGAAGTGCCATCCTATATTGCTGAATTTGCATTTCCAGTGGAGGATTGTTTCCTGGTTCTAAAGAAAAAAGCTAAACATCACTTCAGAGTGCTAATTGGGTGACATATCTCAGTGTGGAGCAGGCAGTGTGGTCAGCCTGTTGATCAGGTGGGTGAACTGGTGCTGTCACTATTTGCAGTCTCCTTGTAAGTCTGGCCTAAAGTTTTCATAAGCAGAAGATTTTGTTTCAAGTGTCATACTTCCTGAATGCCTTCTCCAAAAGGTAGTGCTGCAAGTTCATCTTGGGAAGGGCAGAAAAGGTGAGTGGCTTAGGCTGCATGGAGAAACTTACTGAACATTTATCTCATGCAATCTGGCTTTTTCTGCATCAATGAACCTCAGTAACACAGAGGAAAAGAAGAACCCCTGCCTTTCTTAATGGTGCAGATTAGGGTAATAATACATTGCTGTTTGGGGCAGAGACCAACTTTTTGCAGGAGTTGAAGATGGGAAAGGAAGTGTTTCAGTTTATTCTGAAGATCCTTCTCCCTCCTCTCCTGCCTCATAGCTGAGTGGGGAAGGGAGCTGCTGTGTGTCATCCTACTTTACACAGGAGAAGACAATTCATTTTGGAGGAGAGGTATGGTGCCCAGGCATCCAAGAGAAAACAGAACTGGGAGTCTGGGTAAACGTATGAGCATTGGCAGAGGAAGGCAAACCATTCCTCCTCTTAGAATCTTTGTTGAAAAGCTGCTCAGCCGTAAGTAACGCCCTTGTGAATTGGGCAGCAATGAACTGTTCATTTGACTTTTAAACTTCCATAAACGGGTGTCCTGGAACTATCCTCCTGGCTGTACTCCCAAGCCACGCTGCTCCTGCATGCAGAAGAGCATCTTTTCCCCTGTCCCTATCCTGCTGTGTTTTGGGGACAGGAGGGGAGGGAATTAATACAAGAGTTTCTTGTTCATTAGCTGCTTAACATGGCCTGCCCTCCCCTGCCTTGCTGCCTTGTCCAAAAGGAGAAGAGCTGCCCTAGAGGGGGTGCAGTCCTCCAGGCGGTGATGCTGTCAGCATGTGCATGGAGGATGCCAGCCGCCTCTGACAAGAGGGTGATTGTGTGGGGAGGGCTGTGGCAGCTTGACGTGCTGGCTGGAGCGGTCGGGATCTGGCACACTGTGTCATCCCACAGAGCGGGTGGCATGCTGGATCCTAGGAACAAGGCAAAAGCAGAGAACAGATTTTTTTTTTTCCATGTTCTTTTGTGTTTTTTTTGCTTGAGTAAAAGATTTTAAACAGAAGGAAGTGATTTCATAGCTGAGCCCTTTTTTCGTTTAACAAGGCTGCTTTTGAAATCCTTCAAAAGTAACAAAAAACATAAAGCTCTTTCTCTAGACCATGTCTTTCCTTTGCACTGGGACTAAGGAGGGACTGATCTGTGGACTGCACATAGCTATAAAATCATGTCTGGTCTGGCTTGCAGCTCAATGACACTTTGCCTTTCACCACCACCATGTGTTCCCTTTAAATGAGCAATCGGGGAACAGGCAGAAACTGAGCAGATACATCAGCTGAAACTTGGCATTCTCTCTTCTGTACTCTACTTTTTCTCGTGTTACATTTAAAGACAAAGCTAAACTGTTTTTCTGGTGGAGGTCACAGTTAGACACTGAATGCATTTGGCTGGGCCAGATGCAGGTTTGGCCAAAAAATGAATGACAATATCTAACTATTGTTTTAAGAAGCAGCGAAAGCCGCAAATGAAGGATTTCAGAGCTTAGGCCTGGAAAAACTAGCTCTGATCTGGATTTCCTTGGCCTGGAATAAGGCAGGAAAAGCTAGGGTCTCTCTAATGCTGGAAAACTAGCCTGTATTTCTCCTACCTAAATGCTGATGAAACATCCAACCTTAGTTTGTCACCTCGTGGTGTTATAATGTGGATAACTCTGCCATGGACCTCCATATGCATCTTTGGGCATTCTCCTTTATTTAGAATTTAGGCTGTGAGATTGTGATACTGAGGTTTTGTAACTGAATTTTAAATAACAATAATAGCAACAAACCTTCTTGTGTGTATTTTACTAATCTTGACTATTAGCCTTCTGTGCTGTGTGAGTTCTCAATGGTGTTTGGGCAAAATTAGGCATGCCTGTTGACTCAAGCATCATAGCTAACCCCCAGGATGTATGGAGAGCAAACAGTAGATTCGTGATTGCTTACCCTTTATGTTCCTGGGAAGTAAAAAGACACGCGCCTGTAACATCATCCCCTTTGCTTACAGGAATGAGGTTAACTCTGTAAGACTGGGAAACTAATGTGGGCACACATGAAAAAATAAAGGTTCTTTTTGTATAAACTCTTTTTGTTTAAAGGAGACTCACTGTGTTTGAAGACAGTTCCTTACTTCTTATAACAAAGGAATAAATGCAAGAAGAACATCTGGAAGTTCAGTATAAACATCTGGAAGGGCAGAACTGCTCAGCAACAGCTTTTTTCTTGCCCTCTCTGCTTCAGTTATGAATTGCATGAGACTTATTTTTATAG